TCCCACTGGCAGCGGCGTTTCGGTGAGGACAGCGTGGACAACCTGGGAGATCACGGGGTCTCTTGTTGTCATTCGAGCAATAGCTGTAGCTGATAGAGCATCAGGGTAGGCCCTGTCAAGCATGAACACGTCGGCTGGCGTCGAATCAGGTCTTTCCTTCGTTGGAAGAGGCAGCCTGCTCAGGCCGTTGGCATGGCCTACCATCCTTCCAGGCTTGTAGGTTAGCTTGAACTGGTAGCTCGAAAGGGTCAGCGCCCACCTTGTAACTCGTGGAGACGCTTGACATGGCACGCCTCTGTCGGAGTTCAGCAGTCCGAGCAACGGCTTGTGGTCGGTCACTGCTGTGAACGGTCTTCCCAAAAGGTATTGGTGGAACTTGCTTACACCGAAAACCAAAGCCAGGGCTTCTCTGTCCACTTGACTGCAGTTCTGTTCAGCAGGAAGTAGCCGTCTTGAAGCAAACGCTACTGGTCGCTCCACTCCATCACTCCCGATGTGTGCCAGCTCAGCACCAACGCCATAAGGCGAAGCATCGCAGGTTAGTAGGAGGTCCTTTTTTGAATCGTAATGCACAAGAATGGGTGCAGTTGTCATGAGTTTCTTGCTTTCAGCGAAAGCTTGCTTTTCTTCCTTTCCCCACGACCATTTCTTGCCTGCCATCAGTAGAAGGTGCAATGGCCGTACCGTAGACGAAATGTTTGGCAAGAAACGTCGGTAGATGTTGAGCAGTCTAAGGTAGCTTTGAAGCTCTTTCACGTTGCAAGGAGCATTAGCGTTGACGATCGCGTCCACTTTGTTTGGGCTTGGAGTGAGTCCCTGCTTGCTAATGATATGGCCAAGGTACTCTACTTCAGGTTTGAAAAATTGGCATTTCTCCAACTTCACCTTAAGGCCAACATCTTGAAGCCTCTGAAGAACAGACTTGAGGTTCTTCACGTGGTCTTAATCGTCAACTCCCGTGACAATGATGTCGTCGAAGTAGACCGCAACGCTTGGTAAGCCACGGAAAAGATTTTCCATTTCTCGTTGGAATATTGCTGGAGCAGAAGAAACTCCAAACGGAAGTCTTGTATACTGGAAGAGACCCATGTGGGTGTTGATGGTCACAAACTTGCGACACTCTTCAACCAGGGGCACTTGCTGGTACGCATCTCGCAAATCCAGCTTTGTGAACTTGGTTCCCCCTGACAAAACAGCCCACAGTTCTTCGACGCGTGGAACTGGATAGGTCTCTAGAAGAGACACAGGATTGACTGTTACTTTGAAGTCCCGACATATCCGCACTCGACCATCCTTCTTTTGAACAGGGACGATGGGAGCTGCCCAGTCAGATGTCTTCACTGGCTCAATGACACCCTCACGTTGTAGTCTCTGGAGCTCTTGGGTGACTCTCTCACGTAATGTAAATGGCAGTGGACGGGGCCTGCAGAATTTTGGCGGAGCCCCTGGAGTCACAAGGATCTTCGCATAAATCCCCTTGAATGTGCCCAAACCTTCTTCGAAAACTCTAGAATACTGACCTATGAGGTCCACAACATTAGACAGGTTGTTCACTGGCTCAAGTCCTTTGAGGCTCAGGCCCAAGCTTGAAACCAGTTGCGACCAAGCAACGTAGGTGAAGTACCAGAGGTGATAAACAGCGGAAGAACCTCACTGTGACCTCGGTAACTGACGTTGACATTTGCCTTGCCTTTCACTTGCTCGAGGCCTCCAGAAAATCTTTGCAGAAGGACGCTCGAAGAATCCAACTTGACATTGGGAAATTCTGCTTGAAACGTTTCTGCAGGCATCACCGAAACGCTCGCACCGCTGTCTAATTCCATGGAAATTGGTTTACCGAAGAGTTCAACGGTGACCAGAAAAGGTGGCACTGTTGATGCTGTGCCCAGGTGCCACATGTCGTAGACGTCAGCTTCCACAACCTGACAAAGATCTTGCGGGGACATGTCGCCGTGCAGTGTGCTCACCCGAGCAGATAGAGTTGATCTTGACTGATCCCGATGAGCTCTTCCGGAACTTTTTGAATTGGGCAGGTTCCCACTCTTCTTCGAGTTGCACACAACAGAAAGGTGCCCTCGCTTCTGGCAGTAGTGACACGTAGAATGAATGTGTCGGCACCGAGATGCCAGGTGGCTTTTGTCTCCGTAGCGATAACACGATATGTCTTTCGCCGCGTGCATTATCTTGTGTGTGGAAAGAACGCTTGTACTAGCTTGAGCTTGACAGAGCTCGCCAGCATCTTTCTTTGCAGATTCCATGGCGCGTGCAGTTTGAACAGCAACTTCGAAGGTGAGGTCCGGAATTTCAAGAAGTCGAGTCTGAATCACGGCGTCATTTATGCCGCAAACTATTCTGTCTCGTAGCATTTTCTCCAGCTCAGCACCGTAGTCACAGTGCTCCGATAAGCTCTTCAGCGCTGCAATGAAGTCACTGACAGATTCCGTTTCGGAACGAACCCTTGAATTAAAGCGGAAGCGCTGAACAACGGAGGACGGCGTAGGGGCATAATGCTTGCCGAGAATGGCCAGGATCTCGCTGACGGTCTTGTCTTGGGGTGCCTGCGGCTTCACCAGGTTCCGAAGCAAAGAGTAAGTCCTCGGGCCGCAGCAGCTCAGGAAAATGGATCTTGTCTTTGCAGCAGGAACATCGTTGGCAAAGAAGAATTCGTGAACTCGTTCCACGTATGCAAGCCATTCGTCGCCTTCCCCCTCGAACGGTTCGATAATGCCGAACGTCGGCATAGTCCTCTTTTTACCTCGTCGCCATTTTGTTACGAGTGTGGGAAGAAAAGAAAACACGTCTGAACCCGCTGACGGTCTGCATCACACTACTTCTTTTCTTTTTATTGGCATTGTTCTCTGCCACTATGGTTTCTGGTGGCGCTAGTAGACTCTTAACAGTATATAAACTTTCTGGAAATCACCCATTAATACAAAAGTGTCATAAGCAAGCGTTTCCCCATTTCAATCGGTAACTATGCATTTTTTAACAATAGTGTAAGAGGGGAAAAAGGTATGGCCATCGTCACTCGCCGCTGCTAGTGCCGGGCCTCGGGGTTTTCCGACCAGGAGCATGGTTGATGGCAGTGTGTGGCCCGTTCCGCGTAACGCCGGTGGTACCAGCACAGGGCTCTGCTGCTTGACCGCGAGGCTCGTCGCGAGGCTGAACGGGCGTGAGGGGAGCCGCGCCTGGATTGTCGAGGTCTTTCGTCTGACGCCTTCATGGCGGCCACAGCGCAGGAAAGCTCTGCTATGCTTGCCTTGATCTCGGCGACTGTTGCTTGACAGGGCTGGGGCTCGTGAGGCTCGTGAGATGCCACAGCAGCAATAGAAGGTGCTGAATATTCAGCAGTCCGATCCGCCAGCGTGGCAAGACGATCTAGCGGCATGTCGTCAGCAGCTGCAAGAACCATGCGCATTCCTTGCGGAAGTTTTTGAAGAAATAGCTCCCGCAGTGTACGGTCTTAGGAATCGGTGGCTTGGGGACCCAGCAACTGTCGCATTTGGTGGAGAAGTTGTGATGGGCGGCGATCCCCTAGCTCCTGGGCTGTCAGAAGTTGCTGGATTCGTGACCGCTCCGATGCCGTTGTTCGTTCGAGCAGAATGCTTTTCAAGTGATCATATGCGTCCTCACGCGGTGGCTCCGTCAGCACGTCGTCGATTTCGTCGGCCACGTTTGGCGGCAGAGAGGCAACGACGTGGTAGAATCGTGAGAGCTGGGTAGTGATGCGCCGAAGATGAAACTGCGCCTCGACTTGGGTGAACCAAACTCGCGGGTTCTTCGGCCAAAAAGGGGGAAGGCGCAAGTTGACCGCTGCGAGGTTGGCGTCAGAGGACTGAAGTGGCGCGCCGTCGCCAGTGTGAGCGTTGCCTTGATCCATGTTGGTTGAGGCTGCTAGAGAAGGCGACGGGGAGCCTTCAGATTCCGGGTCACCATTTATGGGGAAAAGAACACGACCGAATCGATTGGTGCTCGGGCTCCGACTGCCCGCACGTTTTTAATTTGCGCGTGACCCGCGTCACGGAGCTCGTGACCCGAGCTCCGTGCTGCGGCCATTGTTGCGGGCTCCTACAGCGCTTGTCTGATATCAATTTAATTTTCGGCACCGAGTTGACCACTATTCGCCAAGAGATGGTACCTCTTCTGTGTCTCCCGCCAGCCTCATGCATTTATGGTTGTTTCTTGTATTAGTCTGAACGATATTTGGTATTACCATATCATATATGCTTTTTGCTTTATTAATATACGACTGACAAGTGTCAAAATGTTCTATTAGAAATTCAACAGAAAACAACACTCTCAGATAGATTTTGTTAAAAAAAAAAAAACTTTATTCATCAAGATACAATAAATCTTTCGGAAAAGATGGCGTGTATTAGAATGTGTTGATACCTAACCCGCATATAAAAACAACTGTCAAAAACACGGCTTTTATTTTTATTATAGTTGTTGAATAACCAAATATTATACATTGAAAGATCTAGTTTTTGAATCGAAATACACGCGGGGACTCTGGAAATGTCGTCGCAAGTATAGGAGTGCGTGTGCTAGAGTACTGAGCGCCGACTGAAGTTTTATGCGGATAGCCCTCTCTTCGGAAATGCGACAAAATGTTCGTTCCGAATATTAGTTGATCCACAAGAAAACAAAAAAACTCTTTGGGTTCAATAAAAAAGTAAGCGCAACTTTTAATGAAAATAGCACAAGAAAAATAGAGTAAAAATTAAGAATTTTTATAGTTGATGGTCACTCCCCTTTGTTTGTTGACTATCGCTTAAGTCTTTGCACTTCAATGTTCTTAATCTTCTGCCATAAAAGACAGGTGTTACTTAGCTTCCGACAGTTATTCCTAGCATTTACAAAACAAAATGTATCGTCTTGATATTCTTTTTTTTTTTTTTTACCGCCTTCAAGTTAGATTAAAGAAAACATTTTCTCAGCACTACACGACAATTCTTGCTTTGTTTATGTTCAGGAAATACTTTATTTTCATACCAGAGTTTCGACAAATCTTTAAAAGTCCTTTATTGACCTAAAAAAATAATTACATCAGTGCACCACGACATTGACGAAAAACTAAACGGCCGTAACATTTAGGTTAGGTTAGGTCAGATTAGGTCATCAACGACAATCCTCGCGTTGAATAAAATTCAAGTTTTCTTGTTTAATATAAGGTGATAAAATTTAGCTGGGTTGTTTATGTCTTATATTAGAACTACACAATATTGCATTTTTTTAAGGATGAACCCATGAATGCTTGCTCAGATATTAATTGATGAGAGATGTTGAAATAAGAATTCTAGTAATAATTATAGCGATGTGTGATCCCGGTGCTTAGATGCAGACGAATTGGCATTGTATGGTCCGTCGTAGCCGTGGAGTTCTCGCCTTCGTTCCACCTTTTGAAATAAAAATCAGGTAAAAAAACCCGACTATTATTTTTTGTTTAATATTGAATAAAACAATACAGTGATTCTACTTACATCTTTTGAGTCGTGGGCGAGAAGATTGTTCTTTTTCTTCATTCTGTTGAAATAACCAGAATAAATAGGAATTTGAAACAAATTCTTGTTTACTCAACATCTGTAGCTTTATTTTTTCTACTTTGTAGTATTTTGAAGAATATACAATACACAACACTTTTTCGTAGTTTTCCTTACACACAGACTATAGTTTGTTTTTGTTTCGATAATTTGGAACAACAAATGAACGGCGTTTAGAAATTTCTGTAACGCGAAATTAGAGCAAAGCATCGAGGAGGAGGAGGGGAGGGTATGCCCTCCCCTCCTCCGCACCCTCTCCTCCCGGCTCCTCCTCCTTTCCCCCTCATCTGTCTTCATCGTCCCGTCCTTTGCTTCTCCTTCTCCTCTCATCCTGCTCTTTCCCTCTTCCTCCGCCTCTGCCTTCCCCTCCTCCTCCCTGTCCTCCTGCTCTCCCCTACTCCTACTCCTCATTTCTTCCTCCTCCTCGTCTCCCATCCTCCTCTCCTCCTCCACCTTTCCTCCGTACCCTCCCCTCCTCTCCCACGGTTTCCCTGCTAAATTTAGCTGACAAATTGACGCCACGTGAACTCAACAGAAATTCAATTCCCCTCTAAATTTAGCGGGGAATATAATTTTTTTTGAGGTCACGTTGAGGTCAGTTTCCCCGCTACATTTAGCGGGCAAACGAATGTGGTCTCGAAGTTACGTGACATCAGTTTTCCAGCTGAATTTGGTAGGGTATTTAATTGATGTTGCGGTCACGTGACGTCAATTTTGACGCTGATTCTAGTAGAACACAATTTGTTCACAAGTTACGTGACACCAAGTCGTGTGAGGTCATTTTCCACCCTAAATTTAGAGGGGATACTGAATTGGCGTTAAGGTCAGGTGTCGTCAATTTTCCCGCTAAATTTAGCGGTGAATGGAATTGCTGTTGAGGTCACGTGACGTCAATTTTCTCGCTAAATCTTGTGGAGAAACTGAATTTGTTGATAAGTGACTTAACACCAGGTCATGTGACGTCCTTTTCCTTGCTAAATTTAGCGGGGAAACTGAATTGGTGTTGACGTCACGTGAAATCAATTTTCCGTTTAAATGTTGCGCAGTTAAGCCGACGCTGACGCTGACGCCGACGCCGACGCCGCGAAAGCGGGAAACGGGCGCCGAAGAGCTGGGCTCTAACGATGCTTTAATATGCACAAATATTAGGTACGTACTGTAGCTTCCTCTTTTTTAGCGCACCTTTTAGGCGCCCGTTTCCTGCTTGAGCCGCGTCGGCGTGGGCGTAACCGTGCGTCGCATTACGGGACGTTTCCCATAATAACATCACACGTGACGTCACGTGTGACGTCACGCGTGTTGCTAAATTTTGCGAGGAAATTTTTGCTAAATTTGGCGGAAAATAGTCCTGCTGAATTTAGAGGAGGAATTTTGCCGCTAAATTTAGCGGGAGCGAGGAAATTTTTTTAAAACCTAGTAGGAAAATTTTTTGCTATATTTAGCTTAAAGTTGTTTTTGCGAAACTTAGTGGGAAAATTGACGTCATGTGGCCTCAACACAAATTTCGTTTTCGCGATAAATTTAGCGGGAAAGGTTTTTCTAAATTTCCGCTAAATTGGGCGGAAAAATGATAAAGTTCCTCGCTAAATTTAGCAGGGAAACTTTGGCTTGAATTAGCGGGAAATTTAGCGAAAATTCGACGCTAAATCGAAAGAGAGCAGGAGAGGAGGGGGGTAGCGTACGGGAGGGGAGCAGGGGCATAATCTCTCCTCCTCCTCCTCAAGAGTTGCGCTTCAATTCGGCATTACGGTGAGTTGTATAGGTATTTCATTTTTTCATCAAAAACCCCACTTTGAGGCACTTCTTTAGGCGCGGCACAGGATTATACCTATTCAAAGACTTTTGCCGACAAGGTGCCCACCCATTCCATCGCGCATCTGCTAGACCGTCTGCCCCCACAAACGTATATACTTCAAGAAAGAAACGGCGCGACGTTTCGGGGAGGATGATCATATTCCTATAATAAGGAGAGATCGGGGGAGAACGCTTGGAGGGATTGACGGTCTTGTTGAACAAGTAATGGAATGACTAAAAACCAAGGCGGCAGCCTTTTTTGAGAAAGGCATTCAAAACCTTGCGCCACGTCCTGATGAATGCTAAACCAACACAGTGATCAAATGAAAAATTAACTATAGTATATATAATTGGTGTGTTATAAAATAAATTTAACATCCTTCCTGTCTTTAGCCAGTTCTTCGGAGGTTTAAAAGAAGAACCTTGCGCATAGAGAACAATTCGTTAATCGTGAATTACGTGAGTATGATATAGGGGGAACATTTCATGGCATTGTTTTCCTGCAGCGCACACATAAATCACGTCTCAGAAAGCGCTGATCATTCTACAGAAGGCGATTAAGGTGGTTTCTGCGGAATGCCATTTTTTATAGCCAATGTGCTAGGTGAATAAAAAAATTCCGTAAATTATCTCCAATTTCTATTGTAAAAGCATATAGCATACATAAGCCTGAAAAAATGGGCCAGTAAGGATTATAAGAATGCACAGAAAGAAAAAAAAAACACATGGAGGACGAACACAGACGCACAAAGTTCTGTGCTCGTCCTTCATGTGTTTTATTCTTTCTGTGTATTTTATAGTTTTGAACGCGCTCTGCTACGTGTAAGGATTATAAGGCATGACTTCCCAGTTTTCCTCTGGCGGAGCTGCATATCTAAGACGTCAGGATATTCATAAGATCAAATGCATGATATGTTGCATGTTGTGCCATTTAATGAAAAAAAGTACCCACCTCTCACACGGATGAACATCAACATATGTTAAAGGGTATACGTACATAGGCCCCTCTAACAAAAATGAATGCGTTCCACAACATTTTATCTTTATGCATTCGTACTGCGTAGGACTCTGTATAAACAGGGCTCTAACATAGCTTCAATTTGTTACTCCGATTTTGCTCAATTGGAATTAAAATTTTGCAGCTTAGCGCGGGAAAAAAAAGAAAGCGCCTATGATGTTCACAACGTGGCAGTCGTCACTGAAAAATGCGAATGAAGACCGGAAACCAGACGCTAGGGTGTGAGCTTACAAAACACCTTAACTAGCATGTGCGCAATCTACTTTAGGTGTAGCTAGCAACAGTCGAATATATATCTAGGTATTCGGTTTCAATCCCTGAAGGAACATGCGGGTCCTGTGGCGGCTCCCTTTGTTCATTTTTTTTCTTGTTTTGTTCGCATGACAGCTATTAGACTACTCGTGTGACCTAAGAGCAGCGATGAGAAGCTATTAAATCCAACGGTTGGGGCGGAGGACACTCTTTTTTATTCCAAACCTTAACAAACTTCATATATATGTTTCATTTGTTTTACGTAGTTTCTAGCAATATTCGCACCTGGTCACCAGAAAAACGATTTGTACAGCATGATTCGTATTTCTTGTATACGTTAAAAAAAGAACGGAACCCTTTTTGGCGTGCTCTGTGTTATGTACCACATTTTCACGAAACACGAAAACCACTTAATAATTATGGTTGAAGATTTTTTTTTTCATGAAGCCAAATGTGCCATAAATACATTGCACTGAAAGTTCCAGGATGTTTGAGAAAAACTACACATGTTCATTACAAAATGTTCATTCTTAGTCCTTCAGTGTTATTCAGCGCTAAAATTTATTTAAAATACTAGTTTAATTTATGCGATTATATAATTTCAGTAGAGTGGAGATACCCTTAGCTTGAAATATATTTATTGTTTACAGATTTCTTCAAATTATAAGGGCTCATGTGTCACTGGTGGGCAGGTAACCCATAAATTTGGCTTCGTTCTTCTTTTTTTTATCGTGATGTCGATACAACGTTGAGCGAATATTTTATATTTCATAAATTATAGTACAATGTAATAGTGAATATTAACTTTTGACGGAACCTAAACTTGTCACAAAGCAACATTCATAATAAATTACAGTATGAATGCGTATGAGCCACGGTCTTTATCGCTCATAAATGTGAAACAAGATTTACTAGTTAATGTTGTTTTATTTAAAATAACTTAAATAGAGGCCATACCTTGAAATGATGCTCGCAGACACCACGAAGCACAATAAAAGTAGCGCCGATAGCACAACTCCAACGATGACAATATTCAACTTTGCCGCTGCAAATAATATTAACGCAAATGAATAAAGTTTTATTTTTTCTGCGTATTACTTCAATACTTTTAGTTATTATTTATAATATATTTCAGGGGATTTGAAGTTTGTAACGATCCCAAAAGATGCTTTCATGTGAGAAAATAGTTAATCAAATTTGTTTTAATTAAAATAAACGATATTGCTTGAAGCCAATCGGCACATACAAATTTATTGAAGAAGCGTTTTTTAATATGTTAAACTTTAGACTACAATGTTGATGCCCTTCTTTGGATTCTGTGCGATGCGTAGACAGGCGCACCACTGACGATTATAATTTGAACTTAAAAATGTCGAAGTTGAAAGCGTCTGTATTTATTGGACCATGCTTACAATGCAATTCCTTATTTTCTTCTTCGCAAAATAGACCTTTGAATTTTGATGGACATCTGAAAAGAAGTAGTAAAAACCATTTTAGGATCTCTATAGACCTAGTTTGAATATTTATAGGTCTCTAAAAGAACTTATGATTCGAGTTTCTGCATATAAAAAACGCGGTTATATTAAGAAGAAATTAACGTGAAATAAGAAACAATACCGTCTTTAATATGGCGGAAAATAACTTTAATCCAAATTTTGCAATGATACAACGACGAAAATTGAAGACCATATAATGTATATCATTATTAGATATGTTGAAACAAATAATTTGCTGTTCTTATTATTATTTTCGTATAACAAATACAAGGAACGTAGTTTTTATCAAGATTATGTATATGAAACTTGGAGGCAACAGAAATATTCAATCTTAAACGACCGAGTTCGGATATGTTTCTTCAAGAGGACGATATTTTTTGACCTCTCTAATAATCCGTTTATCTGCATCGTCTTTGGTTTTGTCATATATAGATATTATTAAAATAATTGTTTACGACGGTTCGGGTTATCCTATGCAACACAAATCAGGAAGCCTAAATAGTGCACAGAACTACAAGTGTCTCCTTAGATATATACTTGCCTAATAGGTCCAACGGTTTACCTTCTTCATTCAGAACGTTTAAGGACAGGTACGTAAACTGCCCAAAGCGTCTGTACAGAATGTGCTGCCTAGAATAAGCTTAGACGAGCTCGAAGTTCATAATAGCCCGGCCATGAAGGAGATCACCAGAGGTACACAAATGAAACTATTATAAACGTTGTCTTCTTTTTTTTCTGGTTTTGTTGTTGATGCAGAAAGAGGTACAGAGTTGACGCGTGCAGGCGAACTTCCGAGATAGCAACTGGGACAGCAGCATTTTGTTGTTCTTTCATGTATTTAATGGCGAATCACAGAAAAGGGCCAAGATCTTGTTTGCGCTAGCCGTTTCGTGCATTATGCATTTCATGTCTATCAATTTTAAAATTGGCACATAACCAATCTTAACGTTTAGTCAGGAAAAGAAGGTACGATATCATGTAGGCCCCGGTAGTTTTGTTGTAACTGAATATGAGTGTAAACAGTTTCATTTCTACAAAATATATTCGTTGATAGACGGCTATAGTTATGGTTCTATCTGTGTTTTTGGCCTCACAAATAAACGTTGTACAGTTGTAAGCTCTAGAGTAGCACTATGCGTTGCTCCCTTTCATAGCTCTAAATTAAAACAAAAAATTAACGAGCATGGAAATTATTCCTTTATGTAAAAAAACACCTGCCATAATTTGTTTCACATCTCGAACGGCTAAAGTATTTACGTTCAGTAATTGCATAAAATAGCTTTATCGAGATAGAAATACGTGGGATACTCAGTAATAAAAATAAGCAGCATCTTGCAAACATATTTAAATTATTAAAAATATATGACGCCATTATTTGGTTCACAAATATTTCTCGGAAGTTTCTTATGTGATGCAAAAATTTCTCGCAAGTTCAATATACATGACGCCATATATCTGTACATAAAGATTTTTAGGAACATCAATTGACGAAAAATGCATGGTTTCGTGACGTCGTCGGTTCTTCGCTTCTGGTAAAAATAAACGAAATAATACTTACATGCACATGAATTGGACTTCACTGTGGGGTTGGCAGGTGCCTCCGTTTTTGCAAATATTTGGTCTACAAGCCTCTGAAACATTATATGAATAATTGATTGAGCCTTCCGTTCTATTGAAATTTTTTATTGCAAAACGTAATTCAGCGTTTTTTTAACTCTTCTTTACTGAACATTACATGTCAGTGCCAAACAAATCCGCCTGCTTGTGTTCTTAAAATATTTTTAATATTTTTAAGATAAAATATATCTATCTATTTTTTTTTATTTCAGTTGTATCTTATAAGGCGCAGGAGGCCTTTTTCTTTCATTCATCTTCTACCTCAATAATCATGCTTCGGGTAAATTACGTTATTAACGTTTCCAGAGAAGTTTACCATAGCGTAATGCAAACTATACTCGCCGTCAACTTTCTGTGGCAATCTGAGAGGAGAAGGAAAGCGCGTGGACAGCGGTTGGTGTTCCCTCTCCCCTAGCATTCACTAGATTGCCACAGAAAGCTGACCGCGAGTATTGTCGGTTTGAACAAAGACAATCATTATCCACAGGATTTATAACGTTTAAAACATTTTTTGATTCTACGCATACTTTCTTGCAAATTGTTTTAAAACAATTTTGAAGCATAACCCTATTAAACCGCATATGCAGGGGTACGACCCATACATTATGATGACACATGATATGAAAATATGAAATGTTATGCAGGTTGCCGAGATAACTTGCACCAACTTTAAAACAAAAGGGAACTCTTTCAGTGGGTGATACTAACTTTTCGTTGTTAGGAAGCGTCTGACGAGATTATACGAATTTGCTTTAGTGAACGTATTCATTTAATTCATTAAGACTAATTAGCTAACTTTTTAAATGATTGCTTCAAAGGCCCAATTGGGGCTTGGAATGTTGTAAATCGCATTGAGAAACCTCCAATTAAGCGGTTTGCTATATAATACTCCCGCCCGCTTTTTTTAATTAGCCTAACAAGAAAGCCCGCGAACTATATAAAAAGACCACGCGACAACACGCCCGCGCGTCGTGCTGTCAGGGCTCTTAGACATGCTCTGAAGGAACAAAGTCCTCCTTATCGCTGGCGCAGTCCGAGGCTGTGCTTCGTGTCGGTGGAGGACGAAAAGATAGTCGCGAGCACCTGCTGTCGCAAAGTCCTGTCTCGGACATTGCACCAGTGATAAGGTGAACTTCGTTCTTAAGAGCACGTCAAGAGTGCTGAAAGCACGACGAGCAGGTGCGTCGTCACGTGATTATAGTTTTTTTCAATATTTCGCGGGCTTTCCATATAGACCAATTAAAAGAAGCACACCATGCGTATCACATACTATACATCTTAATTGGGTGTTTCTGAATGCGCTCTAAGTCATCCTAATGCACACCTCTGCCCTTGAAGGAATAACAAAAAAGTTAGCTAATATAGGCTTAATTATTTAAATTGCAAGGCGCACTAAAATAATTCGTGCACTTTCGTTACACGCTTACTAACAACGTACAATCGGAATTATTCGCGCACAAATATCAGTTTCTTTTATTTGGGGCAGGCTATTTCGGCTCCTTGTATATGCGTTTTTCGGAATTTGAACCCGCAGGTGAATTTGTAGTTTGTCTGTGGTTTTCTACTCTACTTTTCCTCTAAGAGGGCCCATAAATGACACTGTCTTCTGTCACGTGTTTCTAATATTTTACCAAATTAGCGATATCTATATTATATAAGACTCTCACAGTGCACCAACAATATTTTTTGGCGATTCACCTGTATAATTTGTGTATAAAATAGGAGAATATCGTACACTGATTAAAATTGTAAAGTCCGCTGATAAAACTACTTAATTACCAGACGTTTGTTTGTTTGTGGGAGTATTTTGTATGGTATAACAAAATATAGCTCGTAGAAGTGCCTATGTTATAAACGGAAGGAAACAGCCAATGTAGATACAGTCGAGATATACACACCGACGCAAATGTCATTCTCAGGGACGAACCCGTGTTTGCAGATGCACTTCTCCCGCACGCATCGTTTGTTTTGTGTTGCGTTACAGTATTCGCTGCACGGTTTATCTGAAAGCAAAACAAAACCGGATTAATGACCTGGAGAGAATGGCACCACAGTTAGGATTTTATAAGAATGAATCATATTGTATATAATATTAAATTAATAATATAGAGAGATAACAAGTGTGCATGATAGCACTGTTTATAAGCTGGATGAAAAGTAATTTCACCCCTCTGCACGAGGAATGCCCAATAGTTAAAAAAAGTTTCTTTCCTGGTTATTCCACAAGGAGCCCTAATATGGTAGCCGCAATGACAGGCTCAACATATGTGTTTATTCACGTGATATTTGTATTAAAATTCACCTTTAAGTTTCTTGGAGCGAGGGTCGGCCACCACGCCCGGAGGCCGCTGCCGGCCACCCAGAGCGGACAACGTCTGAGGCAAGCAACAGCGCAGGGAGGACAGGCGCGAGAGGAAGAGGGGGCACGCCCACAGAAGGGGGGAGACGGACCGAGCTCACGGAGGCGTGTAGTTTGAACGCTACGGCCACGTTATACTTCAGTACTAACAACCGTTTGCTGTTACTTTAATAAATGTAGTTTCTTGTTTTGGAAACCTCGGCTGCGTGTTGTTCCTCCCGGATGGGCATTGCAGCAAGGCAACCCTACTGCAAATTGCAGGTTTATATTTCAGCCCTATATTTCAAAGAAAGAACGAACAAAAAAAAGCCGCCCGATAACGAAGAAACGAAGCTTTTCGTCTAAGGCTCATAAACATATTATGAGCCGGAGAAAATCAGTCATCTTAATTGTTTGCTTATTTGGAATTGTTTCTGTTTATGCTCCGCCCATTCGAAAGCACAATTAAGAAGCCCACATATGCACCTGGCCCTGTTTGCTGAAAGCCTGTTAATTTTTATCGCGGTAAAAACGTAACCGCATTTCCCTGTCAGGGGGGATTTTAGGTCACGTGGCCGGCAGTGTAAAGACAGCGTGGCAAGACGGCGGTGCCCCGGCGAGCGAGCGGCGCTCGCTTTGGAAATAACATGTTGTAGTAGCTGCAATATCGGGCGCGTTAGTCTGAAATGAATAGTGCAGGGGGCTTTCGCATTGCCTTACCTCACTTAAATCGCAAAGTAGGAGCAAAGACCTCGCCGCATTGTTCAGGTGATCTTTCGATTCTGTCCCTTCCTAAACCTAAATGAACGCGAAAATTGTCGGCATGGCAACGTCTTTGGAAAGTGAATTGCCTTGACTAAATCGACCGGGTGTTGGTAGCCCGCAAAAGCAGACAGCGTTCCAACAGACGTTTTTTTCTAAATTTCCAAAGCACCAAGGTGCATGCAACGAGTTTAGTTGCAAGTGCTGCACTTGCTGGCATCTGTAGTAGAAACTGTTCTAAAGCAAAAGCCTAAAACAAATTTTGCCTTAAACGCCCGTTCCTCAAAGCCTTATTATGACTATTTACTTCGAACCTTTTATACGGTAAGGCCAGCACGCGTGGAGCGTACAATTACACTTTCAGCGTTCTCCCTGATATTTGGCTTATTTAATAATAGTTATGTTTTCACTGGAGCCCAATTATGCGTTTTGCAATTTATGATAGCGTTATATATATATATCTTACATGCTCACCAACCATACTGCCGGTGTACCGTCCACCTTGCAATGCTCACTTCTTCCTCATAGTTTTTAAAACTGAGCTTCGTCGTCCTCTTTTGAACTTGCAAGGAAATTTTAACGAGGCCTGTCTTCAATTCAGAGAGCCAAACATATAGAAATTTCCGAAACATGGGTTAATTTAGTTTTGCCTTGCCCAATATCTGTACCACGAGCAACAAAAAGTGCTTCATAAGTTTTAATATATGCCGCGCTGCGTCAAGAAATCTCGGTAGCGCGTTTTCTGGTCCCCCCTTTTTGTGAACTTTTTCCAGGGAAGCCACTTATATTCACTAGAATTAAAAGGCGACACCAGCTACCACCTCATAATAAAACACAAAGCTAACGCTCATCCAGCCCTCGCCAAACTTGGTTAGCTACTTGTAGGCACCTAGTAGAGAATGACGGTTAACTTTTAACCGCGGTTAAAGTTAGCCGGCTTTGAGCAAACGGGCCCTAATTTCCTTACAACACTGTCTTCTTCCACAAGTTGGAGTAAGTGGCCGTGTTTCAAATTGTACTCGATCTTAACCTAGAGTAAGGGTTCTGCAACTTGGCGTTCGAATACCTACCCGTATTCAACGTTGTTTTACCTGTCTTGTCATTTGGCACGATCCGCCGGAGTAACTCGGATCCATACGAGTAACATTTAGAACACAACCCGTCTGTTATGGTCACAGATCGTTAATAGACTCATATGCGAACTCAGCGTCTGAAGCCAGCTCACGCCACGCCATGTTCCGACCGCCGTCTGCTATCAACACGGAAACACTATCTCGGACTCTAAGCTAAACATCCGAACAAACCGCACTGCGTGCGGACACCACCTGCTTCCATCGGGGAATAGTTATTATCATCTCAGGCCCGAGCCTGCATCAAAACCTCAATGAGTTTCCGAGGCGACCCCTTTCTGCACTCAGTGTCGACCTCCACAACGGCACGTCCAAGTGTGGCTATCGTTGCAGCGTTCACTTTAGCAGACGTTATTCAGAAGACGGGGTCTACCATTGCTAAGTTTGAAGGTCGCGTTTGCGCGTTCGCTCATAAAGCAAACGCTTTGGTATCATGGTGACTCTGACGATAGGCCTCCTGCACTGAATCTTTTATCAGAGCCGTTTACAGACGCTTTCAGGTACTGTGCATGGGCGCCGCTAACACCGACCTTCAGTTTTTGTTCCCTCTTATTCTGTTCGCTTCATTTCATCATTACCACAGTCGGACAGGTTATTGCCATTTTAGGTGTTACTGTTTCCTTCTCCCCAGCGTAGGTCTCTCTGGAGGCTCGTTAACGCCCGCTTTAGTGCCTCGGCATCCTGGTAAGACAATAGAAGGTCGACTATGGCGACTCAATCTGGCGCGCGCTGAAAGCGTCTATACTGAGCGAGTTTGGCCTTTTTAAGAAGATTTTGACAGTCTGGCAATCACAGCATCGTAGTCTGATAATCGGCTAATGACTCTATGCAATTTCTCAAAAATAAACAAGAAAAAAAAGTAACGCCATTTCGTGTTATCGCAAAATTTGTTGGTTGTAGCGGGCAACAAGCTCCGCGCATTGGTCAAACTCTCTCAGTATAAATGGCTCTGGCTTTGATCAAACTGTGGCGCTCCCATTTGGGTAGTAGAACCCCCCTTTGACTTGGCCTCTAACTACTTGTGGCGCCTTCGCTGAGCTTTTTTTTTACTTTCTGTGTAGTGCTGAAGAACATAGAAACACATTTCGACTTCCGCAATTCGCTAGATTCAACGTGGTTAGACAGTCGAAAGGGCCAGGTTCATGCCACCACCGCTAAGGTACGCGTCTCTTATCTCTCTGTGGTGACGTCATAATATCAGCGCCCTGACGATTTCTTTTCTTTCTCCTTTTTAATTTGCAACGCGCAAACGGCCTCTCTTGGCTCTCTAGCTTCTTAGCTTTAATCTGGGTCGGTCAACCCGTCCAACACAAATATTGTTTGTGTTATGACATAATGAAGGGAGGAGCCGAAAGATTACCGCGAAGTTTTTCCTCTTCTCCCAAACGCGCACATCCGTTTATCGTCGTGATGTTTTTCAATTAATGGGCTAAAAATCCCTATCTCTCCTTAGGCGCCGAACAAGAGCAGCACGAGAGAGCACGCGGAGACGACCGTGGTTCATAAGTTTGACGTCACGAGAAAGATTATCATCATCAACCCAACGGGTTTCATAGTCTAAAAAACACGGTGGAGAGTTGGGATTCTAAAATGAACACCGTCGAAGTTGAAAGTCTGACGTCGTTCTTACTTTCCTCAATAAAGCAGAATTTTCTGAGAAGCGTCCTTGCTGTTCCTTTCATTTCTCTCGGCCTATGATCAAAGTGTAGCCAGATGTGGCTAGGCCAGAACGGCCAGAAGCAGACGAGCAGGTTTGCCCGCTTTCGGGTGCCACCGGGCAGTTGTCGGGACATCGGCGAATAAAAATATAAATGTGCTCTTTTTTTTTTTTTTTTTTTTTTTTTTTTTACGGCAGTGATTATTGTCCGCGTTGGCAAGCGAAAGCGTCGGTTCGGTCGGTTTTCCAAGATTAGCCAGACTGGAATTAATTCTGCTTTTATCTACGGAAATAAGAGAAATGCCATGTTGTCAATATCGATTGTTTTGTTTTAAGAACGCGATGCCTCCAAGCTTCTATCCAACACAATCAAACGTATCACCGTCGACGCGAACACGCACAATTTAATTTGTCGTTGCCAACCGATAATCCTGACCCTGACGTCCAGGGTATGAAAACTCTAAAGGAGGCCACCGAACGGACCTGCACATTACTAGCCCTAGCACGAGCCTCTCTCTTGAAAGTCTGTCATGACCACACGTGATTTCGTGAAACGTAAACGATTTTGACTCCAGAACCTCAAGGACCATTATCTCCGAAACTTGCGTGGTGGGCTGCGAAGTTGGAACGCCTCTAAGCAGGGGCGTTGAAACAGAGAAGGGGGGGGGAGTCCTCTCCCTCCCCCCTCCCTCACTTGCCAGTGGCATCGAAAGTGTGGGCAAGGGGCATAAAGGTGGAATGCGGGAGGCGATCATACCAGCCCCAAACTGTAGCCTCCCTCCAATACAGTGCCCATATATTTCAGAAAGGTATACGAAAAATTTGGAAGGAGGGGTATACCCCTTCTTCAATACCACACCCCTTTTTTGGACCCGGACATTTTCTACAGCACTTCCTGAGCCCTATCTGTGTGTGTGTGTGGGGGGGGGGGGGGGGCGCGTGCGTGCGTGCGTGCGTGTGTGCGTTTTTGTGTGTGCGTGTGGTTGTGTGTGCGTGTGTGTGTGTGTGTCTGTTGGTCGTCCCCCTACTATCTCACTTCCCTCGGTGTTCTCTCGCCATCCCTTGTCGCCTCCTTATTTCTCACACCCTACCTACGTTACTACACAAACCGCCTCT